ATATATATATATATAATAAATATAGACACACAACGTATACCCAATAAAACTTAAAATTTGGTTTTTTGTCTTTTTTTTCAAATTTATTTTTGTGCATTTTTCTGCATTTTAAGCAAAAGAACGTCGAGGACATTCCCCATGACGGGCTGTCCCTTTCTTGTTCTTGCTTGTAGTTTTTTGTTTGTTATTTTATTTAATCGTTTTTTCTGTCTTCTCATTTGCATTTCTTTTTCCTTCTCTTCCATCCTTTTTATTCTCTCCGCTTCTTTTTCTCTTTGCTTTGCTTCAAACATCTTCTGTGCCTTCAGAAAAGGCATATATCCTTTCTGTTCTTTTAAACTGCCTTTTCTACCGTCTGCATGCATTGCATCAGCATCTCCTGCTACTGCTGCTTCTTCTTTTTCTTCTTTTTTGTTTTTCTTCTTGGAAGGGTCTATCGCAAGAGAGTTTACCGCTGACTCCGCATCTTCTTTGTGTTTTTCTGTCTTCTTATTATCAAATTGTTGTTCATTATCGCTTTCTTTCTCCTTATTCGCATCTTGAACACCAAAAGGATTCATTAACTGAGACAAAAACGTGTCGTTGTCGTTTGCAGAGGCAATGGGAGTCGCCCCAGTTGTTTGCTTCCCTCCTCCTGCTGCTCCTGCTGCTCCTGCTGCTCCTGCTGCATTTGCCTTCTTCTGCAGTTTAAAGAAGTGACTCCGAGCCTTTGCGTCTCTCACCTTTAAGAACGTCTTGCGAGCAAAACTTTTGTCCTTCGGCTGTATCCATTGCCTCTTCTTCCTCTTTTGCTTCTCCTCCCCTGATTTCAAACCCCTCGGGCCATCCTGAGGGGCCCCCTTTGGGGGCCCCCCTTGGGGCCTCTTCCGGGGACCCTTTTGCTGAGTAATGGGGGGGGTCTTCATAAGAAAACCCGGAGAGTTTTGCAAAAGCCTTGAGGGGGTTTTGGGTTTAGGGTTTGGGATTTAGTCCGGATATATTCTTTTTTCCTGGTAAGTGGAGGAACAAGAGGAAAATAAACAAAATGGAGATAGAAGATGAATAAATTATTGTGAGAAACAAAAAAATATCAAACAAGAGAATATACCAATAAATCGAGAACTGCGAGGCAACCGACAGCCGCAGATCAACCTCAGATTATTGGGCGCCGGTACGATTTTGCAAAAGACTAAAACAAAACAAAAGAAACAAATACATGAATTTAGATAATAATAAAAAGACTGAAAACATAAAACAAAAATGATTGCATGCAGCCTTCTCTTGCAGTTGAGGGGCCCCCTGTTGCCGCCATTCAGAAACACCAGGGGCCCCCCAGTGCTGCGAAGAGCAAGTACGGTGAAAGTGTATAAAATTGAAACAGGAGGATTAATTTTCATGAAATTAAATAAATAGAATATCTTTAGTTTATTTATTTAGACTTCTTTTTCCCTTCTTTCCACCATTCTACCGCAGACAAGCCTGACGGCTTACCACTGAAATCTGTTTCATATTCCGTACAACGACAAGGGAAGCTGGAAGGAACAATCAAAAGAAAGTATTTCTTTTTGATTTATTTCTTTCAAATTGCACCCTTTATTCTCGCTCTTCAAAGTGTTTTCAATTTTCCTTTCTTTTGCTTCTGCTTTCGCCGCCTTTCTTGACGCTGCAGCTTCGTTCAAGTGTCTGTTGTTTCTTTGTTCAAGTATTGTAGCACTGGGAATATTCATATTCTATGAATTGAATTCATTGAGGGCTGCAGAAGTATTATTTTGGCAGCCAACATAAGAAGTTTATTCTCGGCGACTCTAAAGGACTTTCTTTTCCTTTTGAAGTTGCAATGGGGAGTTCAGCGTCTTCTCCGCTTCCTTCCTCTTCTTCTTCCTCTTCTTCTTCTTCCTCTTCTTCTTCTCCTTGCCCATTATCATCGTCATCTACTCCTTCTTCATGCCCCTTCACATCTAAATCTGCATCAGGAGGCCCTAGCTGTTCTTCTTCTTCAGGTTCGGGTGGCTCTGTACAGCGAAATGCAGCGGGAAAAGGCATTTGTTGTGTTTGCAAGGAAACAAAAGCAGCAAGAGATGAATGTATTGTTTTAAATGGAGAAGAAAAATGTGCAGCCTTCATAGAGGCTCACAAACAGTGTCTGAGAAAGGAGGGGTTTGACGTGTAAAAAATAATATTTTTCTATTAATGGTTATTATTGCGGTAATATAGTAACATTATCATCTTTCCTTTATTATTCTGCTCTCTATAATAATAATAATTATCATCATGGAGCAAAAAGTTGCAAGTAATGGTATTATTAATACTACAATATAAAATTAAGGCATTATTTTTCGTGTTGCCTTCATAATGTTGTAGAAGACGCAATAATCCATATTATCGATAGATTGTCGTATATAATGATGTTATTATGATTGCCGCTATGCATATATATATGTATATGTATATATATAATACTATTATTATTATTCTCTTTTTATGTGTGTTGCTCTGCGTACAAAAAAACAAATTGAGAAAAAGACAAAAATTTACAACATGAGACTGTCTTCGTTATTATTTCCCCTTAATTCATTTCTTTTGCCTTCTTTTTAAATTATAGGACTTTTACAATTAATAATTAATAGCATAGAATAACTATTCAGTTATAATTACTCATTTGTTGTTAAACGTTTTTCATTAATCACTTTAAATGAACACACTACTTAATACTTCATATATATAATATGTATATATGTATGCATATTATAAGCAGTCTATTATTAAGTAGGAAATGCTGCTTTCAGAGATGAATAGCCCTTAGAAACAAATAATCAGACAAAAAGAGAGAAATAATTGTTTTATTTAATGCCTTATTATAGCGACATACCGTCCAAGAAACAGAATATGAAAATGCGGCGAGAAAAACAAAATAATTATAATTATTGTGAAATACAAAAAGGAAGGACAGCAGAAACAAACAAAAAAACAAAGGGAGAGACGCCCAGCTACAAACAGAAGTATATTTATTATTATATTATTTGTATATTATTTATTTATGTGCATGCAGTAGGAGAAACAAAATAAATAGAACGGAGCAAACCAGCGGAGATAGAAAGAAAACAAATGACAAGAAAAAGAGATGTGCAGATACGGACAGATAAATGTTTTTATTTCTATGCATGCTAATTAATAGAGCAAGCAAATAAAAAAGATAGATTCTGCTGCTTCTTCTGCTGACTTTCACTTATTGTTTGTTTGCTGCGATTTTCTTGTCTTTTATAATCGGCTTGTTTCAATGTATTTACTTCTTTTTTTTTGTTTTTGTTGTACACAGCCAGCCAATGCGAATATCAATAAACGGAAATATAAAAACAATGAGCAAATATAGACTCAAGCTCGAGCTGAAACATACAAACAAAACAATAAAACAAACAAAACAATGAAACGAACAAAACAATAAAACAAACTCAACACTATTGCTGCTCCCTACCCAGAACAATTGCAAGAAGGTCTCTGCAGCAGAGATAAGGGTGCTGGCAATAGCTAGCCACCTAGCTAACTACGGCTAGCTAACCATCTAGCTTCCGGTCCCCATAGCCACCTAGCTAGCTACAGCTAGCTAGCTGTAGCTAGCTATCCAGCGCTAGTTAGCTACGGCTAGCTACAACTAGCTACGACAAGCAGCCTCTTTGTGGGTTTTTGCTGCGAGTTTAAATTTGTAGGAACAGCCAAAGGCAAAAGAAATGATTTGTAAATAAGTATCTTTTACTCCATACTGTTTGTATATATGTATATATATATATATATATATATATATATTTGCAAATAAATATCCTTTACTCTATACTGTTTGTATATACATATATGCATATATATATATATATATATATGTATTTGCAAGTAAATATCTTTTACTCCAACTAATTCTTTCTGCTTATTGTTTTCTTCGCATGTCTGTTTCCGCATACCTGAACGGCGCTATGTTCAAGAGAGAATAAAGATACAATTATTTACTTCTTGTTATAAACACATTTTTTATCTCTTAATGAGGCTTAGACATTTTATTTTATATTTCTCTCTTTTTCTGCTAACAACCGACTTCGCCTGCATTGGGGGGCCCCAGGGGCCCCCCAAGGGCTTCTTCGATTGAATGAGTGGAAATACTGGACCTAAAAACATAAATTTAATCTTATGGTTGATATTAACTCTTCAATTTATTTATTTTGATCATGGTTTCCTCACGTTTTTAGTCGTGTTCCGCGCTGGGGCCTGGGGTGTATGCGCAGCAACCCAAGTTGAATTTGCAGGTTTCGTATGCTTTTTGTCTATTTTTTTGTTAGTTTTGTTCTTCTTTTTACATTTCACTTTTTTTTCATAAGATATTGCGGGAAGTTGCGTCTGAATTAATCTTTTTCCCTCATTCGAAGTAGACAGGGAACATGGAGAAACTGCAAATGCAAGAAAGTAGCGATGACTTATAAAGACGAACAGGCGGTTTTATCAGATTTCTTTGTTTGATATTTCAAGAAAATGAAGGTGAATATTTTATTTGAACTTAATTTATTCTTCTGAGCGTTTTGCTTAATTCGCCTTTTCCTGTCTTGTGCGTTTGTATCATTGCTGGTTCCGCATCTTTCACTGCTTATTTTCCATTATTTAATCGTATTTTATATTATTTTATTTTATTTATTTTCCTCTTTTTTGTTTTTTAGGTGGCGATCAACGGCTGCTGCCACGGCGAGCTGAACGCGCTGTATGAAATGGTACAGCGCCTGCATGAAGAAGAAAACATAAAAATTGATCTCTTAATTTGCTGTGGAGACTTTCAGGTAATTAAGTAGACAATAAATGTAAAGAAGACTCAAAAAGAAAGAAAAAAGCAACAACATGCATGAAATAAAGCCAGTAGACCCACTATATATGCTGTGTAGACATACATACGTATACAACGCTATATACCAATATGTATAGATGTCTACACCTATGTTCGTCTATAGGAATTCATAATTAAATATAAATATGTTGTATGCCTCTGCACGTTTACTTCTACACTATATAATATATATACATATATATATGTGAATATATATATATATATATATATATATATATATATATA